GTATTCTAGCTCTGTGCAAACTTGGCTTGTTACTGTGCTTTGTATTAAAAGTGAAGTTATAGTTTATATAGTAAGTTTTATTGAGAGTTTTTAGTAGACTTCAGAGTTTTTGATAAGATTGAAATTTTTCACTTATTCCTTTCCTTTGCTAAGACTTAGATTTTGCATTTAAGTTTAACATTTAGCAACTCTTGTATCTTTGTATTCTTTCTTTTTAACTTTGGAGAGAGCTTATAAAAGGTTTTATTTCCCTTCTCTCTTTTGCCAGCCCAACACACTCACCAAAGACTCCACTTTCCCCTGTTTTGTTTTGTCTTCTGATAGTGACTGTTATTTTGGTTTTGTGGTGTAAATAAATATCATTCTTGTGCACTGTCCAAACTCATTTAGAGATCAGAGAAATAAAAAGACACACACACTTCATAAGTCTGTATCCTTTGAACCTTCAGTTAACAGGCCCTAACAGACTATTTTGAGGGAATTCCATGAGCTGGAAAATACCACACATCTCTATCTCTAACAAATGATACAGGAGTGCAATGTGAAGGATTTTTTAAGTTTATTTGTAGTATGCATGCTTTTTAACTTATTTTATTAATAAGAAATTTCAAATTTTTTTGTTTAGTCTGGTTTATGCACTTTTCATACAAACATGGGGTCCAGAAAACCACTAGGTTGTTTTAGTTCTGGTTACCTTTGTTTTTCTCTAGTAGGTAATACCTACTTCTTCCAAAATATTGCTGCATAAATGTCCTTCACTTGCCAAATTAAAGATATCTAGAGGTTACGTCCTTAAATATTTGGTATGAGAATGCCTAGTCTTGTGGTAGCACTAGTTGTTAGAGGTGAATATGATATTTCATGTTTATTATAAGGCATACTTTTACTTAGATTTTAAGGTGAGTAGGTTGGTGGAGAGATATTTTGAGAGACAACACTGTGTTTTTTGGTTTGATTAAATAATAAAGATTGTTTTTCTATTTACATTGGGAGGATTAAAAGTTAATCATATACCTAAATTAACACTTGCTTCATAATGTTTCTGATCAACCATCCTGTTATAAAGTGGATCTATCTAATACTCATGAGGAAATCAGTTTCACTTGAAAATACAACAGAATACATAAGGAGGAGAAATTTTGTTGCTGTGACTACAGTATTTATTGCACAGTTTTCTGTTTTCACTAATGCGCATATTGGCCCTTACTTGACCTCTTGAATTT